TTGCTTTACTTTACTTTATTACTTTTACTAATCCCTCTCTACAGACCCAGTGTTTGTTGATACTCTGAGCGCTTCATGATAGGACATATTAAAAGTTGTTCTTCCTTCCTGGGCCAAAATAAATAGATTGCTTGGTGATCCTACTTTGGAACACTCTACATAGAACTGACCGTGTGAAAAGCAAGGGTTTTTCAGATATAGAATTGCCACTTTAAAAGTCTGACCTTGTGCTTTGGTGTCCATTTTTCCTAGCAAAAAAATGTGAATTCTTTATTTTTCATAAAATAACTTAAAATATTTCAAGAAAATACCAAAACATAAGAAAATCAGGAAAAAAAATTGGTCCAATACTCTAGAGTCATTAGCTAAACAAAAAACGTTTTGCTGCGGGCATGAGCCAGGGTAGGTTGGACCGGGTAATAACCGCCTTATATCATGCCCTTGGTCCATTGTATCATCCTACCAGGTTTGGTTGAGATTGGTCCAAAGACCAACCGATGGTTCAAGGACAAGCAAACTAACATATTTTTTACTTTTATACGTATATATTACTAGTATACCCTGAGAAAATGATAAAAAAACTGTCTTTAACTTTTACAGATATTGATATATCATCATGGTATGTGGTTTGAAAATATATAAGCATATATTGGATTACTTGTTTTCTTTACAGACAGAAATAACTCTCGTCGGAGGTCAGATAAGCACCTTTGAACGTCGTTGTGTGGAAAACTGTTTTCCACTTTGTACTGAAAGGGGTTTTGGTATCGAGAAATCAACATGCATCTCGTGTTGCAAGAACAACCCTGCTTGTGGGCCTGAAGAATACTGATGTACGTCTTTTGATTAGAATTTGCAAGCACTTTGTTTGAATCGGGCACAATATTAAAAAAAAATCGATTTTTTTTGCTATTTTTGAAACATAGTCTATATAATATAAACAGTCATGATGGAATAAAATACTAAAATACAATGTTAGCTAATTATGAACTTTTTCTTAGGAATGTCTGGAATCATAAGCATTAAAAACCTAATTAGTCTGAAGAATCTAGTCTGATTTTATAAAGAGTAAATTACGCAAAAGCTGGTATATATTTATAAAATGTTTGCTTATTGCAAGGCAACAAATGGGTTATCTCCACTCTGTCCACCGCGAGGTATCGAACCCCGTTTTAGCATCCGTAAACGTACTTCCGACTCATCGGGAGATAAAATGTTACCAACAATTAGCAGCTACTATTTTTATTAACTGGATAAGGTTACAAGAAAATTATGAAGATGTTTTTGTAACACAGTCTTTGCAAGCTCTTCATAAACATGAGTTTCATAAAACACAAATTCAGCTTTCATGTAGCTGTCGGAACAAGTGGAGAAAGTTGAATGAGTTTATTATTAAATTACTTCGTTACTCATTAACTTCAGGATTACTTCTCTTGTGTCTTCCCACTCCCCAGTTCCAGTCATATATTGAGCCTCACTGTATCAAAATAGCCCCAAATGTCCACATAATTGTATAAATCACCGTGAAGGTGTAGTTCTCATAAGTTTGCTTCGAACTCTTTTTTTTTCTTCCAATCTCATTTTGCTTCCAACACTTATATTTAAATTCAAGAATGAAACAATACAGAAACTTCAAAGATTGGTGCAACTAGGTGGAGTCTAATATGCCAGACAATTAACAGAATGAGAGTCAGTGGTAAGAACAATGTATGTTAGATTGTGAAAAGAAAGGAATAAGTAAATTATTTCAATGCAAAATTGGTGAACATTTATTATTAAAGTTGGTTCATGGAATGAGTTAGACACCCGACTGCTTGTTTTGTTGAATTTCGCGCAAAGCCAGTCGAGAGTTATTTGCGCTAGCTGTTCTTAATTTTGAAATAATAGATTGGAGGGAAAGCAGCTATTCAGCACCATCCACCGCCAGCTCATGGGCTACAGTTTTAGAAACGACTAGTGGGATTAACTATTATATTATAACGCTCTCATGGCTGAAAGGGTCAGCATCTTAAGCGACGGGTTTCGATTTCATACACACAGGTTCCTCATAAGTAAGTATGTGGGATTATAACGTTAAAAATCGGGTTTCGATAGCCGCTGTGGGCAAAGCACAGATAGCCCATTGTGTATCTTTGTACTTAACACGCAAAGCGCATAGCAGTTGATTTTTAAGCCTTTTCTCCTTTGTTTTACGAAATAACAATTCAATAAACTTTATTCAGATTAGAATACTGTCGTTATAAAAAGTGATTGGTATTTGGTTACCATACTTCAAAGAACAAAATAACGTGAAAGTAAATAACTAAAAAAACGTATGTTTAAGGTTTCACTTAATGCTGAAATAAATGATGGCTCGTCTTTTTTCAAACACTATTTCAATTGATTGCTACTAATTCTAAAATACATTTTATTTTATTTCATTAGTGAATTTTTTATCAACAGTCAAATAAATTCACAGGCTTTCGCTGAAATATAAGCTCGACTTAATTTTGAACCAAGATAAACTCCCATCCCAGACTTTTCCCTGAAAACAACAACATATCTAAATATTTGGCCTCCAGTGGTTCAGCGTAAAGCCTGAAGACTTATAACGCTAAAAACTGGGTTTCGATACCCTTGGTGGGCACATCACACAGAAAGCCCATCGAGTAGTTTTGTGCTCAAACAATAAACAAACTTAATATGTGTAGATAACTGTTTGTGTCTAGTTAAGTTTAAAATATTTCTAAAAGCATCTTTTATATTCGGAACTTTATTTCAATTGAATGTTTGGATTAATTACTGAATCGTAAGTTTTCTATTTCACTCCGATTTTTCAAGTTTATTGTTTGTCTACGATGGAAAGTTTCTCGAATGTCTGAAGCGGTATAAGACGTAGACAATCAATATACGCACCACACGATGCGTTAGCCAGTTGCTGGTATAGAGGCGTTGTTGAATATTTTACATGCCTAGAAGTGAAGCTCCAAGCCTGTAGGAAAACGAGATTACAGTTGATTTTGTTGTTTTATCTGTTTACAATAAAAATATATATTTCAGGGTGTTTTTTCGCAAAGTTATCATTAGAAATAAATATAATATTGTTGGAATTATGTTGTTTTCTTATCATAAATCATCAAACCTGCAATATTAACATATTTCAGAACGAAATCAACACAACATTTTCGTACTAATTATTCAGTTAACAAACTTGTAAAAATAAATGTATCGAACCAACATTGTTGTAGCAAAGAATTCAAGTTGGTAACATTTCATTTTACTTGAATTTACAGATATACAAATTACTAGAGCCTTTGGTCATTTTGTTTTACTTGAATTTACAGATATACAAATTACTAGAGCCTTTGGTCATTTTGTTTTACTTTAATTTACAGATATACAAATTACTAGAGCCTTTGGTCATTTTGTTTTACTTTTTCATATTTTTATCTGATACTGTCAGTGAAATTTGGAATTCATCTAAAATAACTTCGGTGTTAATAGACCTGTTTTAAGTAAGTTGTATGTTAATATCATATTTCAAGGTTATAACAGGTTATTATAGCCAGAGAAATATGCGACTAGTCATTAATTTAATCCTTCTGATTTCTTAAATAAAATACATAAAGTAATTTCATCGTCATTAGAAATAAACTCTAAGTAATATTTTTATAAGGCTTAGTTCCAGTTTAATTCTGACCTGTAATCAATTTCTCGAGACACGTTGGTTTGTTTGCTGAGTTTTTGCACAAAATTATTCGAGGGTTGTCTGTGCTAATCAACCCTAATTTCAAAGTGATAGACTATAGAAAAGGCACTTAGTCAACATCGTTCACTGTCAACTGTTGTGTTACTATTTACTATGGAGTAGTGGGATTGACCGTCACATTGTAAAGGCTGAAAGGGCAAGCATGTTCGCGAACGAGATTTCGTTAGGCGACCAGTAGATTGTATGTCAAACACCCTAAATACCGAGCCATCCCAGGCCCAATTCATTGGTTATGAATTTATACCTTAAAAACAAAAATGTGTGTCAATTGGGAGATACAGCTTTTCCAAGTAAATCAATGTCAAAAATATTGAAATATTTCGATTTCGCACAATCAGTGTTTCCTAATATTTCCGCACATAAATGTTTTTGTTTCGCTTTAAAACTCAGCATTTTTACCAATCTACAAACACGCCTGCAATAACTTTTTTAAATTAGTAGCCTCTCACTTCTTATAGCTAGCTGGATAAGCAACACACAAAGGCATTGCCTTATAACAGCTCCCCGTAGCACAGCTGTAAATTTCAGGACTTATAACAGTAAAAACGGTTTTTGATACCCGGGGTTGGCATAGCACAGATAGCCCATTGTTTAGTTTGTGCTTAAGTACACAACAAAATCTTAATAGTAGAATGTATATTTAAGGAAACTTGGTCTATATGGCATAAACATTTATGTTATGGCTGTTATCTATTTAACGAACAAACTTTAATTGATTAAATAAGGCCTGTTTGTTTTTTGTTATCTGTGCTGTGCCAACCAGGGGTATCAAAACCCGTTTTTAGTGTTATAAGCCTTCAGTCTTACCGCTCAGCCACTAGGGGAACTGGTAAATATGAAAATTGAGCCGAATTAATAAACGGACTCGAATAACATGAATACCACAACAAATAAATTCAGACAAATCAGTCTTTATATTTTAATTTCAGGCTCTCTACCAAGAAACACTCGTAATTTTCTTTAAGTACGAAAAGCTGTAAAAGAAGTAAACATCTTTTATTCGATTCACTAAATATGTGTTTGTTTTCTTACGTAAAGAATAATAAAGATATTCACGTAGCATTTACCTTAAAAGTGAGTTTTAAAATTATCCTTCTTCTGGTGGCTTAGCATTAGAATTTTAGGTTCGATTCGTATGTAGAAGGCATTGAAGATAACCCATTGTGTAGCTTTGCCGTGAAACAAAGCTTCGTAGACACAATACTTATATTTTATCGCCATCTATTGACATAAATGATAGTTAGTCATTTCAAGATTCCATACATAGCTGTCTCTAAATTACAGCGACAATTTGATTCTGCTGAATTTATTACTTTCTCTATTCTACTGAATTGACCCAAACTTATAAATCAGTTTTAAAGAATTAATTTAATGACTGTTTTTGCACACCCACTAAAAAAAAAACAACAACGTATATATATATATCTTGCTACAAAATAAAAACTTTAAATATAATTGTTTAAACAAATTTACTTCAAAATTTTTGGTGTGATGACATGAACCATTTTCTAAACGATACATGGTTTAGGTTTTATTATTTTTGAAACTTCAACAATTGGATCGACCAGATTGTATCCCTTAGCTCATACTTCGTGAAATTCTGATAGCCTTGACATACATTAATTCAAATATAACTACTAAGAAAATAATGATGCTTCGTGTGTTTTTTTTTCCTCTTTTTAGTTTTAGATTTCTAAATCAAGAATATTATCATAAACGAAGATTATAATGTGATTTGAATGAATCATTGTGTTTTGCAGAATCTTTAATATAACATCCTATATGTTAAAAAACATCACTTACTTATATAGCTCATTACCTGTGAAAAATTTACTGAAGCCTTTTAAATACGAGTTATTAGACTCTATATTGAATAAAACTTTGATGCCCCCTGTAGCTCAACGGTAAGTCTGCAGTCTTCCGATGCTTTAAATCGGGCTTCGATACCCGTGGTGGGCAGAGCACTGACAGCTCATTGTGTAGCCTTATGCGTAATAACAACGAAAACATTTGACTAAAATATATTGCATATTTAAGTTATGTTTCTCAGTCTCAGTTTTAGACTACACTGTAGAGTATAACAGTTTATCATCATTGAAAAAAAAAAAAATAAAAATAGCACATTATTATTCGAAGACTGACTATGCAATACAGGGAAGCTATTGGAATACATGAGATGTTTTATTAGAGTTTTGGCGCCCTCCCCCACTGGCTCAGCGGTAAATATGAAGGCTTATGGCGCTAAAAACCGGATTTCGATACCCGTGATGGGCGCAACACAGATAGCCCATTCTGTAGTTTTGTGCTTAACAACCAACACAGAAGTTTTAGAATATATATAGCACATGTAGATGTTTCATTATATTGTTCTTGGTACTTGTTATATAGTTTGTGGTATTTGCGATATTATATGTTGGAGTACACTGACTATTAATATGATTAATTATGTATTCATATTTCTAATAAACAATTTAATTAACTTTATATGAGTATCGTTTCAATGTTTAACATCTATTTGGAAGGTTCGGATGCTCTTGTTCTGTTCTTAATCCTTAACATCAGATTCATCACTTCATTCATTATCTTGTCATTCATTTCCTAACAGCCACTGGACAAGTTCTTTCAAGCAGGCAAGTG